ATTAAAACCCACAAAATTGCCTGTTGATAAAAAAAAAATTTATTTAAACACATATTAGTTTCGTGTTGCATAAATTTTATTTAAATTTAAATTAACAAAAACTTTTATTAGCTTCTACTAAATCATTTCTATCGATTTTACAAAAAAACCGCCGAATACACACTCGCTTCCAACCAGCTCAGCTCGTCCATGCAATATTCCCCCTTCTAACTTGGGTCCACTAGCCAGCCACATCGACGAACCACCTAGTTTTTACTTATACGAGTACTTATATGTATGTACGTAGCTTTTTTTTTTATTCAAACGAACAACTTCGGTTTTAGTTGTCTTATTTTGGTTTGCTCTCTCTGGGCGTTCGTTTAGTTGGCTTGCATGTTTTACTACTTTGTGGCTTTGGTCTGCGAAATTTTTATATGCCATATTTTTCTAAAGCTTTTAAATTTTTTTTTTTTAAATTAATATTTACCTAAATCTTTACATAAACATGAGAAAATGTTTCTAAACATTTATCGAGTCTGAAAAGTTTTGATAGGCGTGCTTACATACATACTTATTTTTATTCTTTTCCAACACTAAAATGATTACTTCTCTTTTCTGTGCTTCGGAATACTTGCAGGTATGCTTTATCCTGTTTTTCAAAATATAGCTTTTTTGAAGTTTTTGTCTAAAGTGTTTCTTTGTAAAAAAGTGTATCTAACCCAAAGTTTGTCCCCATTAAGACTCACATAGCTGCCAGCAGTATAGCTACATACCTCTCGCTTTTACAACTCAAAGCGTGCATCGTTCGCTTTCATTCGTTTCCATATTGTCGATAGCTGTAACGCAATGTCTGTGTGTTTGTGTTTTTGTAAGTGCCTACGATTTCTCTGATTAAATTTTGTTACGCTGTTCCAACCGTGAACGCATAAACTTTTCCATAGTCAGTGGCATTGCTTTTAAATTTCTAATACATATGTATATCGTCTTCGTAATTCGTAATACCTAGTTTGATTAGTCGTTTACTACAAAATCGTATCAGTTTTTCTCAGCAAACTTTTCGGATATATCGCTTCTTCTAATCCAAGTTCCTTTAATTGCTTATCGATACATTGACCCTAAATAATCGTATGTATTCTTAGGTGTCGCCAGCTCAGCGTAGAGTCCAGATATCTAGTCTTTAAAGTCATCTTTATTTTCACATTACTTTAGCATCCACACTGCAACGCGTGTGGATGGTGTCTGTATGTTTGTATGTACTACGTATGGATGCATCATATGTTGCGTACCCATGCACTTGTGCAACACCGCCTCTGCCTGCGTGCGGCAGCTTTGCGAAATTTGCCTATTGTTGGTGTTTCAGGAGGCGCCACTAGCTGGCGCGGTTAAACGTATCATACATACATACAAACATACATATGTATGTAGTTTGCAGGGCTGGGTGATTTTGAGTGTTTTGTTTTTGTTTTGAGTTTTGCTGATTCTTCAGTTTTTAGATTCGATTTGAGCTGTCAATGTGCGATAAATCAGCTGAGGCCTTAATGCCTTTCCTCCAAAATGCTTGAAACATTGCCTATTCTTTTTAGGTTATATACAAATTTTAATTCGTTTGTTATTAATTTTTTTTTTTATTTATTGTCCTCGCATTGACCTTTTAGTAAACTATGTATTTCTTTTATTAAGTTTTAAATTGTTTATTAATTGTCATCTGTGACCAAAGCAAAAAGCTTTGCACAACTTAAATAAAGCTGAATATTTTGCGGCGCTTTTGTGCAAAAAAGCTTTTGCATTTAGGTAGGTGAATAAATACAAAGAAGTTATGCAATTTCTTTTAATTTTCAGCCATTAATTCTTTACTGAGTTTAAATATTTAAATTTCAATTGATTTTGTAATGTGGATCCTAATACCGGTAATTATTGGGTATCAATTTTTGTGAGGCGGTCGTCGGTACCTCGTTTCATTTTAATAGCGCTGTTTGTTTTAGTGTTGCTATACAATTTTAAATTTAAAATTTTTTTTGTAACTAATTTTAAATAAATACACCTCCTACACCTAAAAGATATAGTATAACTTATATGTACATATTTACATACATAGATACATACTAACTTGCGCATATACACACATATGTACTTACAAAAAAGTCGTCAAACCACACGCCTGCTGTGTATAATACATAGCATCCACTTACGTTCCACATACTATACTTGCAATAAACGTTTCCTACATTTATATAAAGTATTACCTTTTTACAATAGCATTGCTTTTACATAAAAAACCCGATTTATTTAAGTTTGTGTACCTGATATTCTCCAATCCAAGTTTTGCCTTCTTACCTTACCCTATATCTAATCGATCAAAAGTCTTCAGTACTCAGTGGAAATCTTTCTATAGCAGCCAGTACTCAGCTCAGCACACATCCGTGCTCGTAGTCCACTTCCCGACCCATTCACTTTTTCGATCCGTGAAAAACAAAAAAAAAAAAAAAACTTTACCTAGTAGCGCATCGGCATACGAGAACGCATACGAGCTAGCTATCCATGTTCAAGCACAGACAGCGTAGTTCGTACCGAATTTTGCGCTCACTACATATTCAGTTCTTTGCATCGCGTGAAATCGGCCGGTTGTGTTTTGTGTCATTTTTGCGGTCTATGCGAGTTGCGCCTGGGAGGAGTGCCAGTGTTGCCGTTTTGGTAACTTTTAACCAATTTTGGTTATTTTTTTCTTGCCTGTGAAGTTGTTAAGATCTTTCCCATTTTGGTTATTTTTAACAGTTACTGCAGTTTCTAATTTTTGTATACATACAATAATTAAATCTTTGAAAAATAGTGTATACAAATACATTTATTCTGCTCAATATAATTATTTAACTAAAGTTATTACTACTAAAATGGCAANAGTGCGTTTGTTATTGCCGCTTGCACGTGTATGTGTGTGTGTATGTTTGCTTATCGTTAATCACATCATTACCAGCTGCGGTTTTGCCGCCCCCTAGAAGTAAATGTAAGTTGAAAATTTATTTTTGAAAATTTTTTGGTTAATTTATAATTTTGGATGTTTTTGTTTTTAATATTTTTTTTTAACAATAATCTCTTGTCTCAATGTTCTCTCTCTCTCTCTCTTCAGCTGCTCTGCTTGCGCTCTTTGTCGATTTTGCATTTCCCTTCTATTCATCTCTTTAGCACTTCTTCCTGCGCTGCTTGTTGACGTTTAACGTACCTCGTTTTTTTTTCTGAAAACATCTTTTGCGACTTATGTACTTTAGTTTTATGCTGTTTTGTTTTCTTATTTCGCTTTTGTGTTCTATTATCAATGTATTCCTTAAGTACCTCGTGTCGTTTTACTCAATGATTTCCCTCTATTTCGCACTTTATCAAGTCAGTTTTATTTTTTGTGTTTGTAGTTTTGTATCTTTTGTCCAATAAAATCCATTAACTACTAAAATTGTTCATTACAGAGTTGCAAAATCACTTATAACTTGACTAAAATTTCTTACATTTCGCAGCTGTCATAAAATTACCTAAGTATATGATGGAATTTATAAGAGACAGCGAAAATTGTGCTTTTTCGAAAAATGCTGTGTTCAGAAATGCATGAAGCTGAAGCATCAGTCTCTTTTAATTCCAAACTATAATTGAAGCAAATGCCTTGTTTGCGCAACTACCGTGGTTGCGGATATTGGACATTTCCATCAATTATAGTTTAAAAATAAAAGAGATTCATGCTTCGGCTTGATGCATTTCTGAAAACAGGGACATTTAGTGCCATTTTCCAGTTTACTAATAAAAAACAGCTGTTTTTAACTACAGTCAACCATTAGTCAAATTGATGCTGTGAAATGTAAAGTACTTTAACAAGAATTTTTTATTGATTGATTGATTGATTAACCACTTCGCTAAACTTCCCCAAAGAATTTCCAGTACTCATTCACAATAGCAAAGTTATTGAGCTTTGTCACTATGCACAAACTCATTTACTCGTAAAACGATTTGGTCCAACTAGATGGTTTTGTTGTAACGCCATAAAAAAATTCCCTAAAACGGTTTTGTAGAATATTGCTGAAGTGACAGTCAATGGCGGGAAGTAAATCTGGTTCGTTTAGTTTTCGTACACCCGACTGTTGTGGGAGCAGGCTGCTGGTCCAACTTGGGTATATCTATGCACACCATATGTATGCATGTGTGTATGTATTACATATGCTTTTCCAGCCAGCATTTTCAATCTTAGCGCGAAAAGAAAAAGGTACCCTACGGAAGATGCATGCCTACGGTTATAAAGCGAGACACAGGAGCAATCAGAAAACCACCCTTGTCGTACTTACATACATATGTACATATATAGAAAATAAGTCACCTGGTAATTTAAGTACATCTTTCTTTTTTTTCTGTTTGTACGCTAAGGGTCGTCTAATAGCATAGCGTTTTGTTGTTTACTAAGTTTTTTAAATCTTTCGGAGAAGTCAGAAAAGGTTCGCTATTTTAGCGTGGTTAAGAACACTCGAGAATGCTATAAATCGCAAAATGCTGGCTATATTTAGTATCTGTTCTCTACTCGGTTATACTTCTTGATTGAAAAGATGTAACAGATTGTTTTCATTGGCATGCAAGCAATTATTTTGAGAGATGAAAAATATGTAAGAAGTTTCTAATAAACATAATTATAAAGTCTATGCTAGAACATCTCAAAAAGCATAAAATACTAAGCCAGGGGTTCCGAGAGATCATCCAACATGTTTCAGTTTTTATTTCTGCAGAAGATAAGCCTTCGGCAATTCCACATTTAAGAACTCGCAAACAATTTATCATTGACCAAACTGCTAAAGTGCCTGAATTTCAGAAAAAGGCAATCAAGTTGAATAACAGAATTTGTGGCAGTACCAAGTAGATATTTTTTTTTTATCATCAAAACTAATTAATAAAGTCCTTCGCTACCCTTAAGTCTCTACATAAATTCATATTTTCTAAATTAAAGTTGCAGCTTCGCACACTTTTTACTAATTGACTTTACTCTCTTTTTTTTTCAGTACTTTAATGCAGAACTCACATTGAATACATCTTCCCACGAGCTTAAAAATGATGGAAGTTAAACAGAGTACGCCAACCGACTTAAATGCCTTAACAGCTGGCACCAGCAATGGCAAGCCCAATGATGACATGGATGTTATATCAGAATTGGAGGCATCTAAACTGAAAAGTGATATATTAAGCGTAAATGGTAAATATCACACTTCAGTTCAATGCTAATTAACGCAACTCGATGTAGACATTTTTCAAAAACGATTTTATTCCTATTTTAGAACTGCCTCAGAATGGCCTACTTAGCGACGCCTCCAATGGTTTCACAGACGCAGGCGATGGTTTGGATCTGGATGAATTGATCGACTTAAATGATACTGTTAATCCGGAATTGGAAGACGCACTGTTAGGCGAAGATGATGATGATGTAGTTGACAAATTGCTAGCTGAAGTGGTGCCAAAAGCTGCAGCTGTTATTGAGGGAAAATCAGATGATGGCCCAACAGCAGCTAGTTTACACAATCCAGGCGATGATCTTGATAAGTTGATCTCGAAAATAAATGATCTTGAGGATTGCATTGAGACATCAGCCGACAAAGATGGGGTGGTGAGCAGTAATGCAGTAAATGCTGATAATACCAAGGAAGCAGAAGAGGATATTTGTGAAGAAGATAATGAAGTTGCTGATGAAAAAGAGGATAAAGTTGCTGATGAAGAAGAGGATCAAGTTGCTGATGAAGAAGGGGATCAAGTTGCTGATGAAGAAGAGGATCAAGTTGCTGATGAAGAAGATGATCAAGTTGCTGATGAAGAAGATGGTCAGGAGGAGGCCGAAATTGCCGAAAAGTTGGAAAATGATGTAGAAAATAATAAAGAGAATGAAAATGCGGTTATTGATGAGGATAGCGTTGATGGAATCGAAAAAGACTCAGATGCTAAAAGTGCTGTGGATGAAGATGAAATTGATGCTAAAGCTGTAGAAGGAAAGGAAAAGTGTGAAGTGAGTGAAAGTAATGTGAATGATGTTGAGGGCGAGAAGGGTGCATCACCTATAACTGAGAATATTAATGAAACTACTGAGCAAAAAGAAGAATCTATTGAAACTGTGGGTGAAAAGATTGAAAATACTACAGAAATATCTGCAAAAGAAACTGAAATTGACAGCGCGGAGAAAGATGCGAATGAAGTTGAAGAAACACAAGAAGAGATTTTGGAAATAAGTGACGATAAGATTGAAACCACAAAAAAAGAATCAGGAGACATTGCTGAAGATAAAGAGAGTGCTGAGATGATTGTAAACGAAAAAGAGACAGAAAAGGCAGACGAACCTGCAAATGATGAAACTCCAAAAGCTCAACAAAATGATGTTTCTGTCCTGCCTACAGATGATGAAGAGAAGGTGGCGCCAGCGGAAAATGCGAGTGAGAAAGTGGCGGACTCACTTGTGGAAAAGGCTAGCGAGGAATCCATTCAAGAAAAGTCTTTCGAGGGTGTCACGGATGCTAAAAGCAAGACTGCGGATGCAGATGATTCCGACGACGATATAGTCTTTTTTGTCGGCAAACCGGAGACTGAGAAAAAGGATGAAAACGTTGTTGAAGCAGGAGAGAAAGTTGATGAGAAACCAAAATCGAAAGATGAAAGTAATGCAAAACAGTCGACAGCGGAAACGGTTGCAAAACACATGGAAGTCGATGAAGACGACGATGTCGTGCTGCTGCTAGATGATGAGGACGAGGAGGCGGAGGCGGAAACAAAAAACAAGACTAATGCTGAAAAAACAGCAGAAAGAGAAGATGCTAAAATCGAAGGATTGACTGAAGGTACAACAGATGAAATGAAATCAAAAGAATCCAGAGAAGCCAGCGAAACAACAACAACTGAATTAAAAAGTAATGCTTCCGAAGCCGATAAGACAAAGTCAGAATTACAATCGGATAATTCCGATAACGCTTGCGACAAATTTGAAACCGATAAATCCGCTGCTCTACTAAAGGATGATGAAACCAAATCAAAGTCATCAGATGCTGTTGACGAGACGAACAGCAACTGCAGTAGCAGCAGCAATTTGTTACAAGAGACACAAACTATAGAAAAACCAGATACGGGCAGCCCCGGCGAAGAGGATGCTGATGCGGCCGATGAGGCAGACAACGATGATGATGGCGATGATGCAGAGAGCAGTAGTGCCATTGAGTTGGTTGAAGACGATAGTTGCGCTGCTGGTGAAGAAAAAGAATCTGTACCCCCCGCTAAACGGATCCGACTGAGCGTTGAGGCTGACGAAAGTATGAAAGCTGAACAAACCGAAGAATCACGGAGCAGCCACAAATCTGGCGACTCAGCAAAAAATGAGCAAGAAGTATTTGAAGTAGTAAAAATCGGCGAGGATAGCAATGATGCTGACAATACCGAAAAAGGATTGGGCGTGCAAGCAACTATTGCAGTAAAGCGTTCACACGAGTCTCTAGAAGAGAACAGTGCTGATGTGTCCAAAGATGATGCTTTGGTGGAAGTGGTTAACAAAAAGTCAAAAATGGAAGAACCAGCAACCACCGAGGCGTTACAAAAATCCGAGGATGTAAAAGTGACTGAAAGTTGTGTAGTAGTTGTGGCTGAAAAGGCTGTGGCTGACATAAGCGACTCGAAATTGAAACAGTTGGATGAGAAATTCGAAGTGAGCAAGGGGTTGCCACAGTTGCGTGCTATCGGTACCGACATTCCAATACCTCTATATCCTGCGCCGAAATTCAATACTTCCGATTCACCTTCATTGAGTTTGGATTTCCTGAAACGTTTTCGTAAGAATTTCGATAACCTTACGAAACCAGACTTGGAAGAACTGGTGCTACAGAAAGTGGTCGAAGCCATTATACACAAAAGTGAGTTCGCCGAAATGCGCGATCTCATCGACAAGCAAGAAAAACAAATAACAGCGCATCGAGCGAAAATCGCCGAAATCTCCAAACAATTTCGTGACTTGGAAATGGTACACAATCGCGTGTTGAAGGACATCGAAACAAAGAACTCACAATTCATAATGCCCGTTAAAATAACGCGTGCTGTCGGCTTACAAGTGTATGTCCCTAGTAAACGCGGTTCGGATGCTTCTTCAGTTAGCAATCTATCGGGTAGTCATCTTCCAGTAACCACATCACCACAGCGCAGCCAAATGCCACCGCCGTCTTCACCGCCACGACAACCAAATAGTACGCCGGAAACGCGTACTGGTAACTCGGCGTTAGCTTCAGCAGCAGTAGCTGCCGCTATGAATGCACGACGTGGTTGTGTCCAAAAGGTGACGCCGCAGCGGCCAGTGAACACAGATAACAACATGCCTACAACAACAGGTGTTTCCACCTATCGCATTGGTGGCAGCACGGGCATTCTGCAGACGTCCTTAACGCAGGGTTCTCAGACTTCTACTGCAGCAGCGCCACATCAACAACAACAACAACAACAACTCGGTATGCCACGGGTATTGAACAAAGGTGTAGCGTCGGCACAACAACGACCAGGACGCTTCCTTCCTACGGAACAACAGCGTGCGCAGCAATTGCAACAGCAATATGCACGTCAGCAAGCGCAAAATGCTAGCATGTAAGTACCAACTTTGGTAGTATTCATAGTATTTAAGTTCCTTTACTGGTAGAGATGACATTGATGGAGATATCTTAGAAGAAAACTCAGGGTTTTTCCCAATCGTTTTTTTTTTTTAATTTTTTTTTTTTTTAATTTTTTTTTTTTAATTATGAAAGCTGGGATATGGGCATGAAAGTGGTTCCGGGAGTATTGGCTTGAATTTCATAATGAATAAGAATTACCGTTGCTATGTATCGGCGTTAGTTTTTCCCCTTTCTTTTGTAGTACTGCCGCAGTTTTGATATAGCTTCGGCAAGTGGCGTTTTCTTTGTCCTAATGGGCTAACATAATTTTTGCAATGCAATACCTTCTAGTAGGTCGAAGCCACGATGCAGAAAATGAAGGTGGCGCCATTCGCGGACCGCTGACCCTCTCTTCGTCGATTTGACAGCATCCACCTGACGTCACACAATACTTTGGTCTACATTTACTGTTGCCAACTTGGTGCTTTTCGCACTAAATTTAGAGCGTATTCAAAACGCGAACATTTTTTGAGTTTGTTTCCTGGTGCGTTTTTGGTGCTTTTGGTTTTAGTTTGAAGACACCAAATTTGTAAATCTTAAAAAAATGGAAGCAAGCTTTATAGCAATCGTAAGTGAATATGTGGCAGCACCTTCTATCATGCCAGGAGATATCGACCTTCGAACAAAAACATATTAATTTGCATCGTCTTCCCTACAATACAATTTTTTATGTACATAGAGTCCATTAAATACACCAATACAAATTTGTTGATAAAAAAAAAAATGCCATTTTTCTTGGGTTTTAGTGCTTTTCAAATTCAAAACTTGGCAACATTACCTTTTTTTTTGTTCGATTCTTCCCCTTTTTCTTGTTGAGTTCGTCTTTGCTCTCTAATTCTGGTATTTGATGACATCACGCCCGGTTGCTCTCAGCTCGATTGGCGCAGTCTTGTATTCTATCATTCTTGGGTCGAAGTCTGATTGGAATTGCCGGTTAAGGCCTCGTTTTCTCTCCCTGTCATCTCTCTGATCCATCGTAATGTTTGCATTTCTTAACCTAATTAAGTTATTTTATTGAAAAAAAAAAACGAGAATCATTTATAAATATAAGTTATTACAAGAGAGAACAATAGAAAGATTAGTATAACACTTCAGAAACTATGTATAATTCTGCTTCAAGTTTGAGAGTTGATTATGTCTGAACGTGGTCAGTTTTTTGTCGCTCTTAAGCATATCTTAAAGATCCAGAAACCGAATCATTATTCATCACCTGTAGGATTCGATTTTATTTGTAATTTGTTGTTGAAAAAAGGCAACCGACTCATTGCTCAAATGAAACTTTAGGATTAGCTTTAATTTCTTCACTCTCCCATGATCGATCCAAAGTTATTCGGTAAAATACTAGTTTGGCACTTACACAATATATTAGTGTTTGGCCAGCTTCTTCTCCGATTTGTGGCATGCGCCTTGATGTTGTCACATGAAGAGGAGGGAGCTACAGTTTTACGCCGACTCCGAACGGCGATTGTATTTTTATTAGAAGCTGTTTTTCATGACCTGCCGAGGGGCGACCCCTATTAGAAAAAACTTTTTTATGTTTCATTTTTTTTATGTTTTGAAGTAGTTTAATATTTAATACGTTTCCAATTTCAAGAGAAAAAGAAAGAGAGGTGTTGTTGTTGCAACAGCACATAAATTCGCCAAAGAGTTTTTGGTGAATGATGCTGGAATGACAGTCCTTGGCCAGATATGAATCTGGGTCGTTCTGGCGATTTTTCAAGGTACTACTGCCGTTTAAGAATTTCTTTAGACGCAACAACTGCTATAAGCAATTTCAAGAGTAAAAAGTAAAAGTATAAAAGTAAAGGTTATAGAGAGGATCTAATCTTTCTTTTGTTCTCTCTTGTAATTATTTACATTTAAAAATGATTTTTTGTTTTTCAATAAAATAATTAATTTAGGTTGTGGAGGGCAAACAATCCAGCAGCGCAAGCCAGAGATTATTGGGCAAAAGCGCTAGCTATTGACCAGCGATTGCAGTTTGAACAGCAGCAACAACAGAATGATCTTTCAAAGCATAATGCAACTGACTCCTACCTGACAGAGGATCTTCCAGTAGAGAATGAAACTGTCTCCGATTTAACAGAAGATCTTCCAATTGACCAGAAATACCAGTCAGAACAACACAATGCATCCTCCTCCTCTATGATGAAAGATCTGGCAGTGGTTAATGAAACTGCCTCCGAATTGACAGCAGATTTTTCAATGCACAATGATGCTGATTCGAATACATCAACCTCAAGTAATGCGAAAACTTCTACGGAGCGATCAAGACTATGGAGAGAAAGGCTGAATAGCCTAACTAAGGCAGAGCGGAGCAGAAATGGTAGGGAAAGAAATCGCGCAGGCGTGTGTATTATCAAGCCAGGGGCAAAATCAAGCGTACAACGTAACCACGAATGGAGAGAGAGGAAGAAAATAATGCACCAGCGACTAGAAATTTACTCCTACCTGACAAAAGATCTTCCAGTGCAGAATGAAATTGTCTCCGAATTGACAGAAGATCTTCCAATGCAGAATGATGCTGATTCGAATACAATAACCACAAGTAATGCGAAAACATCTACGGAGCGATCAAGACTATTCAGAGAAAGGCTGAAAAGGCTTATAGCGGTTTATAGGGAAAGAAAGCGTGCAGGCGGGTGCATTATAAAGCCAGTTGCCAAATCAAACGTGCAACCTGAAACTCACTCCTACCTGAAAGAAGATCTTCCAGTGCAGAGTGAAACTCTCTCCGAATTGACAGAAGATCTCTCAATTGACCAGAAATACCAGTCAGAACAGCTCCAACCTGATGATTCTTACTCCTCTTTGATAAAAGATCATCCAGTGCGGAATGAAACTGTCTCCGATTTGACAGAATATCTTCCAATGCAGAATGATGCTGGTTCGAATACATTAACCTCAAGTAATGCGAAAACTTCTATGGAGCGATCAAGACTAATCAGAGAAAGGCTGAAGAGGCTTATAGCGGTTTATAGGGAAAGAAAGCGTGCAGTTGCCAAATCAAACGTGCAACCTGAAACTCACTCCTACCTGAAAGAAGATCCTCCAGTGCGGAATGAAACTGTCTCCGATTTGACAGAAGATCTTCCAATGCAGAATGGTGCTGATTCGAATACAATAACCACAAGTAATGCGAAAACATCTACGGAGCGATCAAGACCATTCAGAGAAAGACTGAAGAGGCTTATAGCGGCTTATAGGGAAAGAAAGCGTGCAGGCGAGTGTATTATCAAGCCAGTGGCCAAATCAAACGTGCAACTTGAAACTCACTCCTACCGGACAGAAGACCTTCCAGTGCAGAGTAAAACTGTCTCCGATTTGACAGAAGATCTTTCAATTGAACAGCAATTTCAGTTAGAACAGCACCAACAACATAACGAATCTTGCTCCTATTTGATAAAAGAACTTCCAGTGAAGAATGAAACTGTCTCCGATTTGACAGAAAATCTGCCAATGCAGAATGATGCTGATTCGAATAACTCAACCAAAAAAGAAAACCTGAACAGGTTAACTGAGGCAGCGCGTGCAGGCGTGTGTATTATCAAGCCAGTTGCCATATCAAGCGTACAACGTAACCGCGAATGGAGAGAGAGGAAGAGAATAATAGGCCAGCAACTTTACGCCGCTATAACGCAAGGGTAATTCTTATTAGCGAGAAATGAATCGCCAAAATTTTCCATTCCGTAGTATGGCATAGGCACACTAAGTATTTTACTTGTCGCCACTACTCTATTTTGTGATTTTGTCAAGGCGCAGAGCACAAAGTGAAGGAGAAGTTCGGTCTAGCATTTGTCAAAAGCGCTAATTGTTTGTTTTTATATGTGTGTTTTTTTTTTTTGAATATATAGGCCACAAAAAAATAACTTGTTTCTTTTTTCTGTAAACAGGCGGAAACTTCAGCCTAAGTCTGTTAGCACTGTCTTAGTCCAACAACCGACACAGTTCCGACGGCCCGGCGAAACAACAGGCACATCGCCTAATGCATCCGTGGATCACTACATGAACCAGTTGAATCAAGCCTCACCAGCAGTGGGCACTGTAACAATAGCTTCGGCTAAACCGAAGGAGAAAGCAGTAATTGATCTTACAGACGAAGATGAGGTGGCTAGTACTGCTACTGCAACACCATCAATACGCCAGCGGAGTATCAACACCAACATTGGCATCAACTCACAGATAATGAACTCAAATCGTAGTGTGCCACCGCTAACACGCATGCCCATGAACCAGCAGACAGCTGTGCGAATGCCAGTAGGTGGTATACGACAACAGAGTCCTATGACGGGTAAGTTTGCAATACTTGGAGTTGCGCCTGACATTAAATTAAAATAATAACATTTTTTTTTCTTAACTTACAACAGCAACAAAAACCAACAGTGCACTCATGTCAAATATATCCACACCGCCCGGCACCAGCATTACGCGCGTACACATCAGTCCTGCGAATATGCCAACGCCGCCGGTACGCAAGTACAGCCATCCTGCGCCGCTGCCGAATACGCCGCCACAACCCTTCAATCCCGGCTGGAAACTGCCACCTCCCAGACCTACCATACGTATTAGTAATCTTGAGAATGGCATTGTCATTTCTTGGACTATGGAGGATTCTATGGAACGGTTTGCGGAATGTGTGACTTATCAAATTTATGCTTACCAAGAGACATCCGGTCCGCCAGCAGTTGATTCGTGGAGGCATGTTGGCGATGTGAAAGCAATGTTACTACCGATGGCGGTTACGTTGACACAGTTCCAAGAAGGTCAACGTTATTACTTTGCAGTGCGTGCTGTTGACGAGCATAAGCGGTTGGGACCATTTAGTATGCCGAAAACGTGGACTTAAATGCATGGCTGAAAAGTTGCATTTTATGGGCGGGAGCTTGTAATGCTTGGCGCTGAAATAGGCAGTTGATAATTTGCGCATGAATTTTCATTTATATCTATATTTTAATTTTCGTATTAGTTAAGTGTTTTTATTAAAGGGTTCACAACCTCATATTTATTGTTTATGAAAACAGAATTAACTTTTATGTAATATAAAAAAAATAATTGTAGTTAATTTAAGTTTAGTTACACAAAATGGAAAATGATATATATTACAAGAAACACTACAACATTACAACCACAAGCAGTCATACATAAAATTTTATTACATTCGATATTTTTATTTTTTTATGTTTCACCACATTATGATCTATTTGGTGAGTTTGTAACACCATACATGGATACTCTAGAAATAGTGAATTACTTGTAATTCTTATAAATTAGGTCTCAATTAAAATAATTACTATTAAAAAAGGAATATTTGCATATTTGAGTATATTAACTACAGCATATGTTTAACATAAGTATTTTTAATCTACATATATTGAAAAAAAAAATATTACCTAAATGACATAAATGATTCAGCAGAGGTAGCGAAGTATGAAGATTATACACTAAATCACACAAAAATGCGAATAAATATTTAATTAATGTAAAAACTGAAATAATTTTAATTGTTTGTTGTAATGGCACTGCAAAGATATTGGGTCAGTTCGTTAATGCAACAAGCTGAATTACGATAAAGAATTAAACTTGTTTACTATGGAAATGCCTTATTTTCGCAAATTAGTCCCAATTCGACATTTAACAGTGTATACGCATGTTGGGCGTTTCCATCAATTATAGTTTAGAAATAAAAGCGGCTGTGTTTTGCAGTAATGCCGCAGAAATGCATTTACGAATTTACCCATTCAGGCAGGTTCTGCTATTCGCGTCCGAATGAATTTCAACGCCATTCACTTTGAATTCAAAGTTACTTGAAAGTGAATTGCAGAACCTCCCTAATAATGTTTGAGATATAGGCTTATATCCAAGGCCCTTTGTCTGCACTTTTCACAAAAATGAGATTTTGATATAAAAATAGATAGATAGCCGACATAACAGCGCATGTACACGACTAAAGATCTATCCCGATCGAAATCAATCGATATACCGATTTTTAATCTCATTTGACAATGGGTTTTTTACTTATTTGATGTCAAATGCCATTGAATTTGACATAGTGAAAACAAACCTTAAGACTTAACTGTCATCGGAGATATCAATGTTGAGCTTGTATAACGCTTGACAAAAAGAATTTACTATTAAATTGCAAAGTCAAATTTAACCTCAGTGATGACAGGTAAGTCGAAGAAGAGTTCTAACAACACAAACTAGTTTTTGTGAAAATTGCAGATAGAGAGTATTCAATATAAGCCCTCGATATGTACATTAGACTGCATCACTCCCCATACAAAAAAAAATCTCCATTGGATTTATAAAATCAATTATATTTTAAGACTTGCACCAAAATATTTCGGGGAAAAATTAAGAATTACGTGAGCTGGACCTGATTTGAAAAAACCTCCTAAAATGGAGTTTTTTATGCAAAAAAAACTTTCCTTCAAAAATTTTTCCTTAACCTCAGATAACCAAACAGCTTAAGCAAAAAAAATCTTCATAAAAATATTAAAAAAAAACAAATTCAACGGAATCGTAATCATTTGATTTTTTATGCTGTTTTTTTAATTTTTTCAAAGATTGATATAAGAAAAACTTGCATAACTGGATCACAACTATGCCGATTTGGACTTATGAGGTATCATTGGAAAAAATATTTTCTCACTCTTTTTATTTTTTTTCAAATAACCTCATTCAAAGTATGAGAGAAAAAGGTAGGATGAACGAGCGTCATTCCAAATTGAATTAAGATGAGTTGGTATTAAAAAATAAAATAAAATAAAGGAAACTTGAGAGTTTTTTCGCAAAGAAATGAAAAGAGTGGGAAAATATCTTTGGCCCAGTTATTCAGGTTTTTCATAAACCAATCATTGAAAAAAGTTAAAAAACATTATCAAAAACCTCATTATTAAGAATCCGTTGAAAACATTTTTTAATATTTGCATGCGAACTTTTTAAGCTCAAACTGATTTGTCATATGAGGGGATTTTTTCTAAAAAAATTTTTAAGAAACTTTTTATTCATATAAAACTCCAAACATGTTCAGCTCACGTAAAGCGTAATATTTTTCCGAAATATTTTGGTGGACATCCAAATATAATAGATTTTGTAACCCCGGCAGAAAAACCGCAACATTTTTTGGTGATGCAGTCTAATGTAGTACATACACACATGCGTAATCTTATTATAGTATTTTTGGATCGTTGTCTCTGCCAACTGGTTGATTTTATTTTCTTTTTCTAATTTTACTCTAGCAATGTGCTTCTTATTTTTTCAGAATCAAAAAAGAGTAAATTTTTGATTCAGTACCCTACGGCGTAGGATGAAATAAATGATACAACTTTGAAACAAAAAAAGAAAATTTAACTTTAATCTATTGCTAAATTTTTTAACATTTCTTATCTTGTCGAGCTTGATGGAAAGTGATAAAAATTTCATGTCCCTCGCTTCCTAGGTGGAGGAGTACAAAAGCTATATTTTTGTAGTGGGCCGGCAAATGATTAATAAATTATAAAAAATGCGGTCCTGTACCAAGTTGCACTCGGATATCTCTTAAGCTGAAGGACTAGTTAGTGGTCCAATAGAAGAACAGGGCTCGAATCGCCACATACGATATCGTATTACTCGTCACGTAAAAATACATTTTTCGGATTATGACATACGTGAACGTACACTTTACCACATTCAACTTATACTGCCTGACGTAACACGTAATTTTCTTTAGTGTGGATATGGTTAAATCGACTCAGCTCGTTATATTAATATTTTTGGAATAATTTTCTATGGGTCTGGCTCTTTTTGATCTTATGTCTACTTACCTACAAACATTACAATAAAGCAAGAATGCACTGTAACGTTAATTTTAACGTTTTCCCCACAAAAAATATTTTCTTAATTTTTTTTTTCAGACCATGAAAAAGCATCTGTGGGGGTAAATATGTGACTGGACCCCCTTCCTTTTTATTTTTAAAGGAATTTCCAATGTTTACACGCCATACTTGTTCAGTACTTTTTTACGTAGTATGTATGATTTTTTCGTTAAAAAACTTCGTCCAAAGAATTTTTTTTTTGCTATACAGGCGAACTGAATACGCCAAATAGTTTTTCTTGTTTAAGTCAAAATGTGTTCTAATGTAGCTATTTATGTGAATATTAATTAATAAAATTTATCAAGTTTAACAAATATTAAAATTTTGATTTGTCAAATTTATTGTGGCTTAACATTTTATTTTAATATTTTTATTGAGCTATGTATGGATGGAATGAGTTTTGTAATGGAAAAACAACGAAGTTTAACCGATATTTCGGACATCTCCTCATCAGGCTTCTTTTTCTAGACTAAAGCTGGGATCGAACTCGCATCATCGATGTGCAAAGACAGAGGCGCTAACCACTGAGCCATGCACACCCCGCAAGCTTTTGTAGCTAATTCATTTCCCTTATTCAACCTACTACTATCAAGTGCAGCCGATTTGCCGCTATTTAAACTTGACAGTGTGGTTGTTATTGTTAATTCTATATATTTATTTGCTTTATTGTATAATTTCATGCAGGCTCATCCCAAAAATTCGCTCAGTTCGAGAGAGTAACACTGAAAAGTACGAGATCGCTTTCTAGTAAAAAATGGTAACTGCTGGTAACTTCTACGAAATAGCTGCTATAACTTCTACCGCTTAGACTTCGTTGCTTTTTGCATTTTTGCTAATAAACTTAATCGTGGTACGTAGCTCAATAACAAATTAAATTAAAATTTTTATTTTCCAACTTAATTTTCAAAAATGCGAACCCCTTTTAAAATGCGGCCCGGGAGGATGGATGCAAATTCAGACATATCGTTGAAATCTTAAACTCAAAATCACAATAAGAAACCTTCTGAAAAATAACTAAATTATAAAAGAAAAAAAAAAAAATAAATTACGAAAAAACTCCGATGCCCCGGAGCTCGGTTCCCTCGAATGACATGGTGGTGCCTTGCTCATTCGCCCATTGCGACTGTTGGAGCCGCGCGAACAAAATGATATCCAATTGCTTTCTGTCAAAAAAGGTTTTCACCATGAAAATTGGCAAGGGAGCTTTTGTTTTGTAAGACTTTCAAGACAGAATAAGCAAAATCTTTCAAACTATTTTGCTTGCTGTCTTTAAACTGTCTTACAAAATACTTTCAACTAATGGCCTTATTCATAAAAAATAAAGTAGGTTTAAAGAGCTTTATAAATTGACGTTTTCATACATTTTTCAATTTATAAACCTTTTATAAAGCTACTTAATTTTTTATGAATAAGGCCATAAATATCTAACCAGTATTTTTTCATAGGCGTGAAGACATGAAGTGGGATGCTTTAACCGTCTGTAGGGCCTTATGCAATTTAAATAACATCGCTTACACGAAAAGAAGGAAAAGCAGGAATTAATAGGTTTGTTGCACACGACCAAAACAGCCCAGACAGCGTTCCTCACGCTATAAAAATGGGTAATAGAGAGCGAATAGGTTCCACTTTTGGATCGTAAATGTCTTCTCCTTCGTGCCCGAAACAGCCCGAACTGGAAAAAATGTGCGAATAGTCAAATTGCCATAACAGCTGTCGTCGAAATGAAAAATGCCACAGAAATTTCAGAAAATGTCGTTATTTGCTAATTTTATTAGCCATATAAGATAAATACATATAAAATTATTCTTTAGCGCCGATTGCTGATGTGGTTTTTTGCGTTCCTAACGCTCTGGGCACTTTTGGGATGTGTTATATGGAATATGGGCGTGGTTATTGTCCGATTTTAAAAATTTTCCGTTTGGCCGTTTGGTATATTGTACCAAGGCCAACAACTATGCCAAGTTTGGGAGAAATTGGTGAAGCGGTTACCAAGCAACAAAGGGCCATATACCTTATCTTATATGTACTCCCTATTGGACAGAAATTGTTCTTAAATGACTTCATTCGTTGCAGGTGTTGCATCTAACCAAAGTAAAATGCTTATTAAATGCGTCTCTGGCGTACGCAGCAGAAGTAGGTTTCTGGTCCGGGGTTGAACGCAATGCCAGAACGGAGAAGAAGGATATAAAGCAACCCTGCTGCAAAGGACGGTGGAACGATTGATAGGGTTAGCCTATCTAATCAGGCTTGCATCTGAACCGTTTAGTATTTGGAAATCTACTAAATATCGTAGTGATTTCGTATTTGGAACCTTCAAATACTTGCATAGGTACTTGAGTATTTCCATATCCTAAATACTTAAATTCTGCAGGGAAGCTTTAATATATGCTTACATAATAGGGTGTTCGATTATTCGCCTTTTTTACAAAACCGGTTTTCGAGTTATTCGAAAATTGGCAATGTGAAAAAACCATTTCTAGATTTTGAAGTTAAGGAAAGACCGAATAAACCAAGGCGAATTTATAAAGGTGGTGTTGCTAGATCAGCTGATTTGATTCGCCTCGGTACACATGTGTTAAAATTTCTTATGAGTGAGCGAGAAAAGAGAGAATTGGAATTTTCTTTCTCTCTACCTCCTTAAGCGTAAAATAGCTGAAATTTTAAATTTTTTGCACCGAAAGCAAAAACAAAATACACCTTATATGAATTCGCCTTGAGATAAACCGATTTTATTTTACATACTTTTCTTTCTGAAAATGCTCATGTAACCGAGTGCTTAGAGGCGCAGGTGCAATTTCCAGAAAAAATTATAACTTTTTAGTTTGACATGACAGGCTAATATATATTTTCTGGGGTAGTATGTATGCTTCTTTAACAACTTTACAACGGTATGTGAATTATAGAAATCGGACATCAAATAAAGTATAGTAAAAAAGCCGATTTAACTGTTTTTACAGGGTGCCAAAAAACTTCTGAAATACCCTCATAGTGAGTGCACAAAATCGCCTGGAACAAATTGAACTCTTTTTGTGATACGGTCTAATGTACATACATATACTTGTGTTCAGCTGATTAAGTTAAGTGACATTTTGACTAGTTTTGGCTATTTTTTCTTTTGTTTATTTAATGTTTATATATTTTTTTTAAATCAAAATCTAGTACTTAGATAACGAGCGCCACATAAATTCATATTTCAAACTTCGTACAAAAATTATGAAAATTCAACAAACTTTAACAATTCCACCCAAAAATTTTAAACTTTTCATTTAGAATTTTTAGAAAAATTTCGGGTATGCAAATCCCAAGACTCTAGAAAATCGTGTTGATTTTTAATATTTTTTCATTTTGCTGACGGTGCTAGGCCTTTTTTTCCATATAAAAGTAATTGTCGAGCATACTCCGTCAGTCAAAAAAATTATTAAAAATCAACGCGATTTTCTAGCTATTTAAAATTTACATTTTACTATTGCATTTTACTAAAATTGAATGGGCTATAAAACTGCCTACCTAAAATTTTTCTAAAAATTTGTAATAAAAAGTTTAAAACTATTGGGTGTAATTGTTAAAGTTTGTTGAACCTTTATAGATTGTGTACGAACCCTGCAAACCATTTTTTCAGAGTAATCTGAAATGTAGAGAATTTGTAAAGAATTCGTAAAGATCCCATCCGATTATTTGCCGAATTTTCTAAAATGAAATACACGGTCCACACTTCGATTCTTTTACGAACATTCGGAATTTCGTCAGAATTTTCCTTATTTTTCGTACAGGAATTTCTTTACGAGTTCGTGTCAACCCCTCCATAAATTTTCTTTTAAGATTTCGGGACCTTTGGTTTGCAGGGAAGTTTGAAGTACAGGAATTTCTTTACGAGTTCGTGTCAACCCCTTCATATAATTTCCTTTGAAGATTCGTAAAAAAATCGTTACCGAAATGAGATACTCCTAAAGATTTCGTTAACATTTCGGGACCTTTGGTTTGCAGGGAAGTTTGAAATGTGTATTTATGTGGTGCGGGTTATGCTATATATGTGCCAGAATATCCAAAACTGGTCAAAATGTCACTTAACTTAATTAGCTGACCACAAGGGTATTTGAAACATAAAATAACATTAAATGAAAAAGAAAAATTAAATTAAATCAATTTAGAAGGAATGAATTAAAATAAAATTTCATAAATAATAAAATCGCTTAAAATACTAGTTGTATCAAAATTAAAAATTATTTAGAGTCAAACTGTAGAATCTTTCTGTAAAAAGTTTCGTGTGTTGTTTCTGAAATAATAAGCAAAATCCTTGTGCAAAACGATATAAAAGTATATGTAGGGCTGGATACATTCCACTATGTATGTATGTACATATGCTTGCACATATTTACTATATAATCTACGGCAATCACTTTATTTTGGCATGATTTCAAAAACACTGAAATGATTATTTTCGCTTTTCTCCAAATAAGGAGGCCAACAAAATTGAGTCTAAATCAAAAGCATGCAACCTTAACTTGGTTATAAAAAAAAAAGTTCATTTACATATACATACGTATGTATGTATGTATCTTAGAGTGGTCCATTTTTGTATGGGGCAAAATTTTCATCCTAGAAAATGGGGCACCTCATTTTTTTCCCCCTTTGACATTTGTAATACCTATACCAACTTTCAGTTTTCTACTGCAGCCAATAAAGGGTGCTCAATGACCTTGAAATGCGCTACTAGATCGCTGTGAAACTGGCAAACATATTGGTGACTTTTATAAAAACCTACTGTTGCCATGACAACTGTTGCCATGACAACTGAAGCTTGTGCGATTTGTTTTTAGACAATTTAAATTTGAAATGTTCTTAGGTTACTTAACCAATTGTTTGATAAATATACTATGTACACAATACTTCTAGAGTAAAATATGAGCATCATGAGCATCCTCTAAATTTATACATAGAAGCGTAAGCTTTGGTGCCGGCACCTCTTTCGGCAAGAGGAAAAATTTTGAAAAGTGTCCCAAACCCTATATAGGAAATTTTTTTTTGGACCACTCTAATGTATATACTACATATAGCTACTTACATAAACACGTTGGTGTACACATAAACATTGTACATCACCAATGATTTGGCAAAAACAATAAAAGCATTCGTCAACCAATGGAAAACAGTAATTAAAGCTGTCACACCAAATGACTTAAGTAATGGATGAGGGTCTAGAATTCGCACGACATTCAACTGTTGGTATGAAAATTTTCACAAGAATAGTTTTAGTCGCCTATGGTTAGTACATACATATGTATTTTTTTAAGCATATATGTACATTAGATCGTATCACCAAGTATGAGGCGAAAACATTTGAATTTGTATACAAGTGTAGGTTTTCTTAAAATTTACCTTTACATTGGTATGTCATTTATAGAAATCGGTCAACAAATAAAGAACTTATAGAAAAAAATTGATTTAGTGGTTTTTACAGCGTGCCGAAAAAATTACATCGGCTGATAGAAGAGTTTAAGCGTAAATGGTCTGCATAAAAATGTTTAAAAATTACATCAAGGAAATTAAAGTAATGAAATTTTTTGGAGGCATTTTCAAATCGGTCTAGCTCACGTAAATCTTTAATATTTTGCCGAAATATTTTGGCCGAGCTCTTAAAATATATAAAATTTGAAAATTCCGGTAGAAAAAGTGCTACTTTTTTTGGTGATGTACCCTCGCGAGTCAGACGCACTATGTATGCCGCCTATAAGGGTGCAATGGTGTGCCTGCTTTTCACCCCTTTGCCGAAAAGAATTTCAAAGAAGCATTAACTAATGTAGATTTCGTGGGCCAAGCTTGGAAAACTTCGCCAATTGCTTCTCTCCTATGTTAATACGTCAATTCCTTAAATCAAGAGTAGTCGAGTTTTTCTGCACTTGGAGCATTCGTTGGCCAACCATAGGTGCCGAGGCGAAGAATTTTTTCGCTTGTCCCCGTCTCTACCTCCAATTCTAAGTTGAAGAATGCTGCGCTGACGGCCCTAGTATTAAGGCCAACGATATCAATGTCATCTGCACCTATTCAGGTGGGCAGAAAGTAATATGCTTTCCAACATCAGATTGCAGAAGCCACACAAAGTGACCCTGTGGGGTATCAAACGGATCGAAGAGGTTTTTTAAATTTGAATGGAAATAGAGGGCATTGAATAGCAGGACCTTTTCTCTTGTCGATTGAGCACAGTACACTGAGCTTCCAATCTTCAGGCATGCATTTATCGGACTAATTTGCGCTTAACACCTGGTATATCCCTACGACCTGTTCGCCACCGGTCTTCAGCTTCTGC